ACACACACGCACACACACACACACACACACACACACACACACACGGACACACAAGCTCTGGCATGAGCGGAAAAACGTGACACAAGCTTATAAAAACATCCTGAACGAAAACACATTGCAAAATGAAGATTGCATTCCACATCGCAACAACATTCAACGAAAGAAGATCATCAAGAATAAAGGGAAGCCTTCCAAGGTTTCCAACGAGTTCAGTTCGTAACAAAAGTAGATGGCAGCTCAATCGCCGTCCTTCGTAGACCCCCAAACCCCCCGCTAAACCCTCAACTGCGCAACCAACGACTTCCCTTCATTAAACCTACCACCAAACTCAGTCTTCACCACTACTGTGCGGAACAACAACTACGAGTTCCGCACGCCGCCGATTACCACGAAAACGACAGACACTCACTTCGACTAAGGTTCAGTTAACCACTTGTGCTGCTGAAACAACACTGCTACATACTTGACGACAGAATGGAAATACCGTGCAAAAAACGACAGTGAGGATCGACCATCTACGGCACAACTGCTACACGCTAACGGGAAGACGAGAACCTGTCGGATGAGTGCTCCGAACAACCCCGGGGAAGAAAGCACAGTGTGCTTGACGACGACCAAACAAACTTCCGGACGGCAGCACACTGGGAGGATTTCAGTGCCGTGTTCTCTGACCACCTTCAGTGGATACAGGAGGGCGTGCCTCCCTATCGTTCCTGGCGCATCATCTCTTCGGTGCCTCCCCACTTCAGTGTGCTCCGATGTGTCGCCGCATCAAGACCGTCTTCGACTCTCGACTCTCCACTCCCACAACCACCCATCCTCACTGCGCACCCACCCTCTCCGCCAACGCATCCCGCAAAATGAGCGCGTCCCCGGTCGACGACTCCATGCAGACAAGATGCAGCGGCCCATGCATGCCCAGATCCACCCTGCGTCGGACGCCATCCGAACCCACCTCCCACAACAGGTTGTCGTCGAAGGGAATGCATGCGTCGATCAGTATGTTGTGGAGGATGCACACCGCGATGAACTGTTGCGGCAACGTGTCCATGTTGCACTTGTGCGTGCGCAGGAATAACCTCCACATGCCCTTCAATCTTCCAAAGGCCCTCTCTACCGCTCCCCTGGCCGTCTTTTGCTTGTTGTCGAACCGTGCCTCCGTGGGATGCTGCGCGAGACCTCCATACGGGACGACAATCCATTCCGACTGGGGATAGCCGTTGTCGCCGAGCAAGTATCCATTTGTTTGGACACCGAACGGCAGCATGACATGCGGGCCAGTGAAAAGTTGTCCAGACTCCGCGCGCTCCCACAAACTGGACAGATGTAACATCCCCATGTCATGCACGCTGCCAGGGTAACCGACGAAGACGTCCAGCACACGCAAATTCATGTCGACGACAACCTGCGGTTGCACAGAGAATCGCCTCTTCCGATTACAGTAGTCATCCCCGTTCGCGTTGGCGGGTTTGTCCACGCAGATGTGGGTGCAGTCGATGCACCCATGGCAATTTGGAAATCCCTTGTCTGCAAACGCGTGCAACACGACCGCCTTCTGCAAGCCAGTGGGCCACGAAATCTTGTCCGGGTACGCAGCAAGCAAGGCAGCGGTAACGTCTCGGACCGCCGTGATGCGAGAAGCCCTCCCGATGCCGAAGCTGCACGTTCCGATGTTGTAGGTCTCACCCGACGCCCACCTATAGAGAGCGTACGCCACGATGTGATCCGGCTGCAAAGGCACTCTGTAAAACGTCACACGCCGTTGCAGGTATGGGGAAAGCGTTTCCGCGATTTCGCGGAAGACACTTGGCGACATTCGGAGCTTGTCTCTGAAGTAGTCGTCGGTGGCGTCGTCGCTTTGGCGCAGGTCCTCCCATGCACCTCCCGTCCACCGCTTCATCCACCATCTTGGAGTCGCCCTCGGAAAGGCGCCGCACCCCAACGCGTAGCACACCTGGAGGACGGCGTCCAAAAGTGCTCCCAGGTCCAAGCCTTCACCGCTGCTCGCCAGTGCCGTCACCTTCCGTCGCGCACGAGCAGCTGCTTTCATCTTTCCCGCGGTTCTCTCCAACTGACAACGATAGAGGACGACATTCACCACCGCAGCGATAGCCGTCCTCTCATCTATCGTTAAAGCACGACCCCTGACGACGCCGTCAATAACCATCCCGGACGCATCTTCCATCGACGACACCGGAACCCATGTCAACCGTTAAAACTCCGCAAACACCGCCACGTGGAACGACGATATCCCGCCTCCGTGAAGAAACATGGACGCCACCACTGCGAACTGTGACAAGCTACGGCGATGGCGACCTTGAACGCCGACAACGTATGATTGTCCACCGGAAGGCATGCGCACACTGTACAGTTGAAGGCGATCAAACTGACGTCTCGTATGTACACGCCAACGGACGGCACCCCCCCCCCCCCCCCCCCCCCCCCCCCCCCCCCCCCCCCCCCCCCCCCCCCCCCCCCCCCCCCCCC